TAGATAGATAGATAGATAGATAGATAGATAGATAGATAGATAGATAGGCAGATAGATAATGAAAATAATGGCCAGGGCACTGAAGCTGTAATGTCAGGATGGTGAATAGACAGGTAGTTTGGTTGGCTAAATGTGTACCAGTCCGGGAGGAGAACCCTCCTTGGAGCTTCAACCCTGCTCCTTCCAGACCTCACCTTGACTCTGACTTCATTGGGGCTCAGTGTTCCTTTGGACTCTCTGGACACAAAAGCCATCGCGGTTTAAAAAAAAATGTAGAACTTATATTAGGATGAATTAAGCAATGTCTCGTTGATTTTGGTTTTTATTTGGAATTTGGGTCACCCTGTGCTCATTTGAATCTACTCCATAATGCTTGTTTTTTTGCCACTAAAGATAAAAATCTCCTTGAAACTACCAGGAGCCTAGAAGGGGCTGGCTAGGATTCAGTTTGTGAATCAAAAATTTAACTTTTCAGACGCTTGTTGTTGTTTGTTGACTGGGGTATGGTGAGCTTCATTTCTGACGATGAGCAAGCAGGTGCCTCAGTCTTACATGACTGAGACAGTGGCTGGAGATTCGTGGTCCCTTGTATGTCACCAGAGAACACAGGACCTATGGCTGCATATACTGTACTTGTTTCTATTGTGTTTACCTTTTAAGGGAGGGATTACAGGCATCATAGCTCGGCTACCACTCCTCTGGACCCCATCCCTCTAGATTTCTGATTTCCCACAAGTAACCCGGTGTTTCTTCCCAATTTCTGTGTGCTTAGATCCACAACTACAGACCCACAGCAATATAGAGTTGTGTTTTTAGCAGAACTATTTTCAGATTAAATGTGTCCTTTGGCAGCTTACAGGCCTGTCTGCACCTGCTATTAGGATCTACCTCTCTTATCTCTTCACTTTGTTACACAGCTTTCAACGAGGGGCTAAAGTAAATTGATCTGGTCACCCACCTTTCATTCATGTGTAGGTGTCTTAGTGTCTTTGCCTTTACACTCTAAAAGATTTTGTAACCTATATGAAGTGGCTCTAACAAGACCATATTTTTCAGGGTTAGTGAGATGGCTCAGTGTATGGAAACTGACAACATGAACTCAATCCCCAAATAGAGTAAGAGAACCAGCTCCTGAAAGTTGTGTCCTTTCCCTGTCTACACTCACATAATACATGAATGAATGAATGAATGAATGAATGAACAGGACTACCTGACCTAGGTGACTAAATACTGCTGGGCAGGATGGCTATACCTCATGCAAACTGGTGTGGATTCTCTAACAGCTTTAGCAGAAACCAGTAAATCATATTATACAAAGGCCTAAGAACATTCCAGAACAGCAATCATCATCATCATCATCATCATCATCATCATCATCATCTTTCTAGACTCAGAAGAAAAGCAATGAGATTTTGAAGGAACCCAAGACTCTTGGAAGAATCAAGTGGTGAGCTGGAGCTGAAGAGATGACTCAATGACTAAGAGCAGTTGTGGGTCTTGTACAGGACCTGGGTTCAAGTCCCAGGACCCATATGGTGATTTACAATCATCTGTAACTCGAGGCCCAGGGGATCCAGTGTCGTCTTCTGGCCTCCATGAACACAAGCACAGACAAGGTCATATGCCTACACGCAGAGGGAAGGCTCACACATAAAATAAGTAAATCTCATTTTTAAAACATGGTACCCTGTGACCATAGAACCTCCGGTTGTACCATATGCAATCATGTTGTGATGGCCTCTTGCACCTCACATGTAAAATTATTTCTGTTTTGAGTTTGCGGAGGTCAAAACATTACAATTTAAGTGAATAACTACCACAATAACTCCATCTGCTCTGTCTCTATTGAAGGCTGAAGTGAAGCTTTGTTAAAAGGATGCAGAATTCTCATTTTCACTGCATCTTCTGAAGGAGACAGAACTAGTGCCCCCAAAGATTACAAAATGAGCCATATTACAGGGAAAAGATATCTAACATTAACTGGTACCTGTGTGACATGTGACAACATGGCCCGACCTACAAACAACCTGTGACCTTGGGCTAGGCCGGCACTTCTTTGAATCTCAATCTTTTTATCTGTGACCTGGGAGAGTTGACACCCCTCCAGTAGGCAACAGGTAATGAGTGAGGTGGTCGGGGAGGGGACAATCTCCAAGCCCATTCAGCTGCTGACAATCTGGAATTCAGGCCCAGAGTGCCAGCATCCTTCTAGGAGAGACTCTAGAAATGTAGTTTTTAGTCATCAATGTCTTGTATTAATATTAGCAAGCAACTGAGTTCAATTTTACTCAAAGCAAAATAACAAGCAGGTAAAACAAACAAACAAACAAACAGCAAGCAAGCGAATCGCTTGCGAGTCAAACAACCTGTGAGAGATACATCCAGAGTTTGGGCTATCATGTGTCTAATCTCTGTGCTATGTTAGCTGAAGGTCTCCAGCTGTACTTTAGCATTTCCCCAAACAGGAAGCTAGCAGCAGTGCTGACCCTGCATGCCCTGCTTAGCCAAGGTGGAAACTGCCTGCATACACAGTTTGCCCCTCAAGCACCCAGGGAGAAGGACTTTGCTGCTTGGCTGAGAAGGCAAGGGCCGCCTAGCTGTTCACTGTACCTACAGGCTTACAGCTGTCTTCTGCCCAGGTGACCCATATCAAACTAGCAAGAGTCTTCCACTATTATTCCAAGCAATAGGTGAGGAAGAGAAATGGAGCTTGCCTATCTCTGCTCCCTGGATAAGGTAAAAGCCACCGACAAAGTTAGCATTCTCTTAAGTTCCAGGAAGAACTGTAAGACGCACATAACACACAAAGATGCTTTCTCATCTGGATTTATTTTCAAAATCAAAACCTTCAGTTGGACTAGTTAACATTTCAAACAAAAAAAGCAGTAATGTACCATAATAGCACAAATTTATTTATCCCTGAGACTAAGCAAATATTAATAAAACATGGCTTGTTGTCTCTCAGCCTCCCTGTGTTAGGGGGAAAAATACAGTATGCCATAATACTTAAATTCTTAACTCTGTTCCAGCTCAGGAGGTTTGTGTATGCCATTCTCATGCAAGATTTTGTGTTTATGCTCCACACAAGTGAGAGGGGTGTGTGTGTGTGTGTGTGTGTGTGTGTGTGTGTGTGTGTGCAGTCTCCTTAAAAATAAATATTATTGTTTCATGGTTTTTCAAATATAATAGTTTCATATTACACACTTGTTTTTTTTTAAATCATTAACTAGTATGTCATTGGATTTTATCCATATTGATATATTTGTTGTAGAAGAAACCTGTTCAAAGCAGTCTGGTAATATAAAGCAGGTTATTTTGTCAGCCCTTTCCTTACACTGTAAGCCAGGCTTCACACTTTTATTTTACAAAGTTTCCATGTGTGCCTCTCTGTCTGTGACATTGTGGTAACCGGAGTTGGAATCCCTGGGTGCTCAAAGAAGAGTCTGTTTACATTATTGTTACAGTAATTGTTCAGTATCGTTACATTACTCTACAGTGAAGCTACATCATGTTTACCTTTCCCTTCATCAAAGGCAAAACTTGATATGCTCCGATGTTAACAAGTGAGAGAGACCTTGTTTTAACTAGTAAGCCTTCATCCTGGCTTGCCTCTTTATATTTCCCCCCACTGTGAACTTCATGGACCACTTTCTGTTCCTGAGTCTACTACAGACTTTGCCTTTCTCTTACTAAAAAATCTGAAATGATGTGTGTATTTGTATATCAAACTTGTGCTATTTAAACATGTCACAAAAAGGTTGTTTCTAATCTTTGGTTTACCTTTCTGTTTACACTTCATCCAACATAACTTCAAATTTACCCATGTTTCTTTAACATTTTGTCTTTTGCTCCTTGTCAAAGAAATCATAATTCTTGGAATTATGAAAACATCACTTTCTATTTCTCCAATTGAAAAAAAAAAGCCTTATAGTTTCAAAGTCTTTAACCTGGAACTGTCTTCAATTTACAGTATATAGATTAATTTTCACCCATGTAGATAACAAATTATCCCATATTCTTTCAGTGGTGTGTTCTTTTCTGCTTCCCAGTTACCTCTGTAAATATGTAAAGTATGTAAGCTCTCTGGTCAGTCCCACTTATCCTTTCTTTGTGTGGCTCTGTTTTGTTTTATTCTCTGTGACAATAGCACACTGATTTTGGCCACTTTCTTTGTTTTCAAACTACATCTTCTAGAGCCAGTCACAGACAGAGTGGCCATGCCTGCTGTCATTATTTTCTTTAAAATTGTCACTGCCATTTTTCTATGTCCCTCTGGCTGAGGTCTGGCATCCACTTAGTTCTACCAAAACTCCCTCTTGGATGCTGACATGCATTGCATGTAAAATATGGGTTACGATGCTGCATAAACGTGTGCCTGTCTCATACAAATGCTACTGATTTTGAAACTTTAATGTGGGTCTAGAAACCTTTAATTCTCTTATTATTATTCCTAGTAGCTTATGCATTTAGATTTC